GGGCCACACCCCAATCAGGCCTCAGCTGGCCCTATATAAGAGTCTGGGAGCCAGGAGCTCAACAGTCTCTCTCTAGCTGTAGAGGGAGACGGACCTGGCTGCAGGGACCTGAGCAGAGTACCTGAGTGGAGCAGGGCTGGGGAAAGGCAGAGGAGCTGGGGAGGGTCCAGCCTGGAAAGCCCCAGACTGCGGCCTAGCAGAAGTCCAACGGGTACTGGGGGTTGCAGAGGGCAGCCCAGGGGTAGGCAAAGGCAGCAGGTCCAAACCCAACCTTGCCGGTGATGAGTAGGCTGATACTGCAGTCTGCCCCAGGGGTGGGGACTAGACAATGACTGGCAGTAGCCTTATACTGAGGCAAGGTGGGGATAGTGGGTGGGGGCTCCCTGGGGAGGGGAGATCCTGAGACAAAGGGGTTGCTGCCAAGGGGCAGCACCCCAGATAATGGGGCACCGGGTCCGGGAGGGACACGGTGGCCAAGTGGCAGCGGGACACCGGCCTGCAGAGGGCGCTCCGGAGGCTAGACGAGCTAATTCCCAGAGACAACCAGCAGGAAGCGCCGCAGGGATGAGTCCCGCATTGCTACTCATGGTTAAGAAAGCATGATGTCTGAGCAGCTCTTCTAATCTGTGGAGGCTGGATGTGCGGTAGGACCAGGAGCCAGTCAACTGGTGTAGATTTAAGCGTCCCCAACACTATGCACATAGCATTATTGAGTTGAGTGTCAAAGAGTTTAGTGTGACTGCTATGAAACCACGCTGGTGCACAAAATTTAGCTGCAGAATATACCAAGGCAATTGTTGCGGTTTGTAAGGTCTGTGGACTGGAGCCCATGATGTTCCGGACAATTTTCTGATAAGCACAACACGAGACCTGACCTTATTGCAGGTGTTCTTGAGGTGTTTTCGAAAGGTCAAACTCCAGTCCAGTGTAATGCCAAGATACTTTGGATTAGCTTCATGGCTGATGCTCTCACCGCAGAACTGCACATCAAGTTTGGTATTAGCCATTTTATTGTTCAGATAGAAAGCAGTTACCGAGGGGTGGGGGGTGGATTAGGCCTAAGTTTCCAGTATTGGAAATAATCAGCCATTGTGCTAAGATCTCAGGTTAGGGTGCTGCTGATGGTATGGAGGCTTGTATGCTGAACAGCTAGGGCAATATCATCCACATACATGAATTTCCTTGACTCCGTCGCTGGTATATCCGCGGTGTATAGATTTAAAAGTATTGGGGTCAGGACAGAGCCCCGAGGGATGCCTGAGTTAAGAGTTCTTGGTCTACTGATCTGACCATTAAGGTGTACCTTAAAGCAGTGGTCCCCAGTCATAGCCGTCAAGAGGTGGATCATTTGCCGGCAGTGAATGATGTGGAAGACCTTGAGGAGGAGGCCCTGTCTCCAGACAGTGTCCTATGCTGAGGACAGATCAAACAGGGCAGTTCCTGTCTTCAACTTATGTTGGAATCCTGCCTCAGCATGGCTGATAATGGAGCTACTTGGTCACAGCAGTTCCTCTTCAGGCGAAATCCTGCCTGCTCACCTGGGAGGATGTCTTCAATAATATCAGACAGACAGTGGAGCAGCACCTGTTCCATGAGCTTGCTGGTGGTTGAGAGGAGAGAGATGGGGCCGTAGCTGGCTGCGTCCTCTGGGGGTTTTCCAGGCTTCAATAGGGCAACCACTGTTGGCTAAGCTTCAGCAATAGGAAATTTACATTTATCGCCAGTTTCATCTAGCCTGTTGCATCACTGGTAGCTGAAATGAAATAAAAAGAAACTATGAAAACTCTGCCACAGGCTTCATTTGAGCCCTAATATATTGCAAGAAATCCCTGCAGGATGTTTGTCTGCTTTGACCTAATGGGGTTAAAGGAGCTTACATGCCCATTAAGATAAAAACTCAAGTGATGCAAATGTCCACCTGAATCTGAAATAAATTATTTATTTTAAAGTTGCAAGGAACATTAGTCAAATAGGTTCTCCAGAAAGCACCAAAAATCTCCTTTAAGGGAAGTAGCTTCATTTAGCAGACAAGGCATGAGACTATGAGTTGGGATATTTGGGTTCTAGTCCCAGCTCTCTGACCCCAGTTAGCTATGTGAATTTGGACTGAAAATACCAAACAGTGTATTGCAATGAGCATCCTACGGAGTCAGTTATACTGAATGTCCACTTCTAGGGCCTGATCCTGCAGGGTGTCAAAGGGAGCTGCTTGGGATCTTATAGGGCTGGGTTTATGGTGAAGATATTCACTGGGGTGGGGGGAGGACAAATGTGGGTGAAATTCAGAGAGGGACAGCAAAAGGCCAATGCAGCATTTAAATTGTATTTAAGCTTTTAGGTGAGACCTAAGCAGTGCACAGGCCCCCTGGCTCGCTGCACAAAGGTGAATTTTCCCCTAAGAAGGTTCCACATAGAGCCTTGCCTACAGCAATTCCCTATTTACTGGATTGTTGACTTCGTGTGGACTCCAGCTGGATAAAATACAGTAAAGTAGGAGAGGCTTTAAAACAAGTGATTCAAAGAAGGCAAATAGACACAGATAAAATAACTGCTGCTCTCTCTGAAATAGCCACGTACTAACTTGTGTCTCAGTCAGAAAAATGGGAAGGCGGGGGGTGGGGGGGAAGGGAGGCAATGCCTAAAGAGGCTCTCCTCTTGCTTTGAGCTATCTGGGCCAGTGAGCCTGAAAACAACTCATGCCTGACACTCTGTCAGCATTTCTGCTCTTCTCCCGATAGCCAGATAAATCTGCAACCTTGTTTGCTACTGTAAAAAAATTTACTATTTCATGTCACCCCCCCCATTGCACAATTCTGCACACAAGTGAGAAATCAATCAGCGGCACAGACAGAGCAGAGGCTGTGGTGCCAAGACAACGAAACGCTAAGCCAGAGCCTCTGTTTGGCTGCTGCTGCTCTGTTTCCTGCAAAGTGGTTAATTTGAGGGTGGCAGTGGGGGAGGTACAGTGCTGCAAACCTAATTTACCCACTGGAAGCCTCGTCAAACGCCTGATTGGCTGTGAGTCTCTACCATATTAGGAGTGTGTGAAGCAAAGATTAGAAGCCTGGCCCGCACAGCAGGAACTCTCCTGTCAATCTGAAGACCAGGATCTATATTTAGTAGCAGGCCCATAGGAATAGAATTAAAATGTGGGAGGGGACTGTTCGAATGCAGATTTTGGGTTTTTTTTTTTAATCTACTAGACACTTGACGAAAGCTTTAAGAAAGAATTCAGATCACATATTGCACTTTCTTCAGAGAGGATCTGGTGCATAAATTAATTTTAATTATTTTATTTACTTTTGCATTAAAACAGGAAAACTGTCTGGCTACTATGTACGTTGACCACCGTAGTTTAGATGACTAATAATGATTATTACACTCCAAAATAAAAACCCTGTTAAAAGTGTTTGTTTACCCTTCTCCCTCTTGCTTCAATAGCATGGAAACTAATCAGCAAAAGTGCATTTCATTTAAATGCAATTATGGCAGTAATTATGCTGTGCAAAACAGTTTTGTTCCTAATAGATAAAGGACTGCTGTGACAGCCCTCTCTGTTGAGTTTAAAGGGGCATTTGTTAAAAGGAGAAAGAGATGTCTGTGGTGTTTGAGAGGTTCTGGGGCCTGTTTACACACTCCAGATATAGTTGTTTTAATGTACTGTTACTAAATGAAGGGGCTTCAGTTGTAATTATTGTATGTACTAATGTTTTGTAACAGAAATTAATTGGCACAAAGTACTGCTATGATGAAACAAGCAAAAAATCTTAAACTAACCACTCAGCTAAGGGCATAAATTCCTTTGATGAAATAAATATAAACTTCATTTTCCCATAGAGATGCACCTGTGTTGCGTGTGTGTATTTATCCAGGAAAGCCCAGATGCCGTAGCTGGGCTGATTGCAGCTCAAGGAGATCAAGTCACTGCTGGAAGGTCACACACACTGAGTCAGTGGTTCAGCTGAAATTAGAAGGTAGGATTCCCCTGGCTCCCACTCATTTGCAATAGCCATAGATCATGTAACCTCCTATGAAAAGCATGTGGGTCCAGATCACTGTACCCATGGGAAAAACTTGGGGGAGGGGACTCGAGAGGAGGGAAACTGCTAAATTCCCCTCATGGAATTTTCCTCAACTCATTCCATTTTGGGGAGGGAGAAGGGCAGGAGAAGGAGGTTTGGTCCTGTGGGGATACAAATAGGGATTGGCATTTCCCTCAAGACTTCTGAATCCTCTGGCAGCCTGGAGTCTTCCACATATAAACTCTATGTTTCTGTTCTGCATCTGGAACCCTCTGGCCCATCTCTCTGGCTGCTAGCAGCACAACAACATTAAAACCATGCTGCCAAGGTTTCATCTGCTGGCATCTGCCCTGGCATCTCCCTTTGTTATGGCAGGGGCCTGTGAAAAAGCTAATACAGCTTAAGGTAGCATTAACATTTTCAGATTCCCTGGGGGGGTTGGTAGGATTCCCTTTCCTTACAAATCTGCTCCCCCCCCCAAGTGACAATCTGTCTTTGCTCCTGTTTTCCTATCATGTAGGGCTACCTCTATTTTAAATACTGATTTAATACTTTGTGCACATATAAATTGCCTTTCTAAGCTACAGTACATTATCACTGCTGAATGTTCTGTAGTAAGATTAGTCTGTGTTGTTTATATTTGTGTGTCCATTAATTAATGCATCTTACATTGGTTTCAGTTTTGTTCATTATTGATAATGGGCCTGCCACCTGTAAGAGAAGCAGTACCTTCTTGATGAAGTTGTGGTTTAAAAAAAACCAAAACCTTGGAATGCTAGGGACCAGTCTTGTTCAAACTCTGACAAGAAAGACTGTGTTTCACAGATTTGTTATGTACTAAAACCGATACCGGGTAAGGCAGTTGACTTCTGAGACCTTAAGTAAGCAGCGAGACAAAATAAAATCACTATAACTGCAATGTGTAAAATCAAAGGAGAGCAAAATGGATTCCTGGTCCAGTTACTAGGGCTGATAATACTACTGCTAATAGCTGGGTTGAAGTTAGCCTTCTATTATAAATGCCAATTTTAACCATATAACTTCACCAGAACTAAACCCATTCACCTGATACGTCACAGATGTGTTCTCACATCAGTACAGCATTTTTCCAAGAAGCTGGAGGCAAACCAAGCAAGGCATTTGGGAGATATCAGAGTTTTAAAGTGAGATGATTTCACTCTGAACATGTTTTGGTAGCTTTTCATAGCTCTACATTTGCTTTAATCTGTTGGTCTTGAAGCGGACTGGTGTCTTTAACTAGCTTTAGAGGGGGAAATGTAAGCAGAGTTATTTCAGTTTCATTAATAAAGCAGTTATCAGTTTCTATTGTGTGGGTGCTGCTCAGGCAGCTTGGTGGACAGCGGTGCTTTGATCCAAAAATTAGTTGTTTTCCTGTTGTGGGTAGCTAATTCTGAATAGTGAAGTCTGGTGCATACTGTACATGCCTATGGATTGCTACAAAATTTTCATT